ATATAAACACACGCAGGCAAGGAAGAAGTACCCACCCAACTGCGCACTGATGATGTCTCCTCGTATGATGACGAAACGTTTGCAAGCCAGTTGCCAAGCTCGGCGAACAGATCAACAGCCATCTGATCAACAACCAACTACGGAATAATAGGAGTGCTCTTGTTCTTCATTGTTCCCCTCCAACCAGTTTTCGTAGTGACAGACAACTTTGTCTGGCTTCTAATTTTCTCTTGTTAACGACATATATTGCATGGTATAATTACACGTTTCTTAGCTTCTATGAATAATTGTCTCAAAGTTTTGCATCTAAAAAGTCGCACTTTTTCAAGATCCATGGATGTGCTTCCATAATTCTTCATTGTTCAGATGAAGGAACCCTACCGCTGATTCACTTTAGAACATGTGTTGTCACAAGACGCATCACGAAGACACATTCGAACGTGCCAAAGTAAAGTTCGAGTACTCCGCAATAAACATTTGCCTTACGTTCACCTTAGATCTGTTGACTTGCTGTCGGTCATTTCTGCACACGTCCTTTCAAGTTTATTATCGACCGCAATTTAAAAAAACCTTTTGTCGCATCTCGACTGTGGTATAAAGCAATCCGAACCACTTGATCTACCCACTGATACTTTGGTACATAGAACTGGGTATTTGTGGTTCCTAACAATATGTCGCTGAGATTTTGCTCCAACAGTGACGTTTTTAATTCGAATACAAAAGGTTGTAATATAGAATGAACGGATGAAATAAGTTGTAGTTTGTCAAGGGGCCTTAGATATTTGATTCGACAGGTCTATTGCAAATTCCTAAACGCAGCTGTATTTCACTGTCTGTTGTTTGCTCCACCAAACGTGCACTGCGTGAAAGCGTGGGATCCTCATTCTAGTGTTTTGTCAGTTTTGGAACCTAAGATTGCTGAAAATGCGATGGAATTTACGTCATAAGGAGAATGTTTCACGCTGATTCATTGTGACTGGATGGAGATGAATGAAAGTCTGTTTCATCGATGGCCCCTTGATTTCAGTGCTAATATAAAACGCTAATGATTTTTACCGGTGCTGAGAGAGAGAGTGATAATTTGCTGCTTTCTTCTTTTCATGGAGTTTTCCGTGCGCAGTCAGTTGCCAGCATGGGCCAACGCATTGCCTATTATAGTCAGTATTTTTGATAACTCTCAAAATCTGGCACAGCAGAGCCTGAAATAGCGACCAGCACCAGACGTAACCGAATAGTTATTTCATTGGCTTGTCGAAGTGCAAATTGTTGCGCGTAAAAATAGCAAAGGTGATAGACCTACAGGGTGCTTCTGGGTCAAATCGGTGCCAATTACCTACCCCATTGTGCGTTGCGTTCCACGGATAGACTTGTCGCTTTTCGATCACAATGGCTAACATCCTGTTTTTAATGCCTTGCTACAGAGTATCACCTCAGACACATCTGGGTTAGTTTATAACCCAAAAATGCATTCCTATATTCATTACTGGAAAGGTTTTGTAAATATGCAACTACCTCCGTTTTCCTCTCTTTTTACGCAGAAGCATTCATAAATTGACCATGGTTTCAAGAATGAAGTTTGGATAGCGTACCAAGGGTATGTTTTCAGGAACGACTAAGGAGTGAAGGAGGGGTGAAACTTGAATCCAAATGGATATAATGTTCACATTTCAAAACTGAGGGAAAACTTAAATGTTACGTTCCTACAAGGCTGACGATCGAGAATGAATGAAAATGATCAACAGTTACAGGCGCATTTAGGATTAAATTTTTTCCCAAATGGTTCGAAACGTTACAGAGGGCTGGCAGTTAAGCAGAAGTTTTCTTATTGTGCGAAACAGCGTAGACACTAGTGAAAGTGGATCTAATTTTTGTCCATAATTTTTCCTATTTGCTCGAAGACAAATAGGGGATTGTACAAAGACCTGTAATATGAATGCAACTTTCTCAAGTATGCGGCTCCATACATATAGTTCTAATTAAAATCGGATCGACTGAACGATAGAGGGACTGGCAAGAACACCATAGAGAAGGCTTATATCCTCAATCCACTTTGTTGCTAGGACGGTGGTAAACTCTGAAGGATCACTTCCACACATTCAGGAGAGATACCTTTTTCAGCTCCGCTTACCAAGGTTTCAGCCTTGGGACATCTAATGAGTTATACGAATAACTGATAACTTAGTTGGGGTGCGTTTGCTAACCCCTGTAAAGCCCGCACTGAAACGCCGTAATGGTATAGCTGTCCAACAAGGGTAAAAGGAGGTACCCAATATTTTGTCGCTTGTCAACGTCTGCTGAGAATCTGGTGTTGGGAGAAAATCTTAGGAGCTTGCCCTTCGTATCAAATAGCCAGTTACTGTAAATACTCGTCATTCATCCTAAAGAACAATGTTACTTACATGATGATTGAATGTGGTTTTCAGACAGGGAAGAGCGGAAGGCATGCCAACATATTCACAAATATTGCTATGAAATATTTTTTCTAGACACTGGGGTTTCTCCCCAGTTACCGCTACGTAGTCTACTTTCCTTGGTCAGCAAACCTGAGGGTAAAAGTCGAACAGAAACATATCCGTGATGTTGGAGATCGTTGTCCAAAATCTTGATCCACCTGTGAGCGTTTACGTGAGAAGCAAGTGTGACATGTGTGCCCTTACCTCACCCGGAGAAAAAAACCAACGCTTTCGAAGAAAGCAGCTATAATGAAATGACTTTTGATGCCAAGCCAACTTCTGTGTTTGTTTTACGAGTTTTCAAAACCTTTCCTAACAATCCGTCGTTATGATCCTCAGTGACTCAAAAATGATCCATAGCGTATCCCACATTGCAGCTTTAACGAAATTGTGTCCTGCGGTTAAAGGTCAGGAACGACCATCACCTTAACTATCTAAAGGTGCATATTTACACTGCAACAGAATTGATGGCTATACACTGAGGCATACGCGTAGGCGATCAAAAGTAGATACCAGCTGTTCCGGACACTGATAGTCACCACAACATGTAGCCGTTGAGTGAACGCCTGTGCTGCTCAGCTTATCTGATAACACTCATGTGATCACGATCACTTCGGAGGAGTGGCGGTTTCGTTGAGTAAATGGGATTAAACTCCGATATCTATAGTAAGTGATGTTCAGACAACTGTTGAGCGAGCATGCCACGTTTATCTGGTAAGTAGGCAAAACGAATAGTTGAATAACACTCCCGGCTATTTTATATACGGTGAGTTTAATTTTGTTCAAGCCCCGGGGGAGAAAAAAACTATCTATGATTGCCAGCTTCCCAAACGGGATGTGCTGTCCCACCAGTTTACCCACACTTTATAAGGCTCCGTATATAGTGTTTTCCAACAAGGTATTTTTGGTGCTTAGTTTGGGGTTCCGTAAGCAATCTCGGATCCAGATATCACAAATTAGTTAAAAGATGGATCGGATTAAACCTGGTAATCTTTCGACTATTTAATGAGTTTCTTCTCCCGAGGAATAAAAACGATTAAGAAGGATCCCAAATGAATGTATCGCAAAACATGATTCGTTGTGCAGACAAGACTCAACCAAAAAACATACGAATTTCTGTAAAATAAGTACCTTAACCAATATTGAAGTGCACACAAGGTCAATTTGCCAAGGCCACTGTGGACAAGGTCTTCACGCCCTTTGATAAGGTTCTTGGTCCAGATAGTTTCCGCTATGAATTGAAAAATGACAAAAGTCGTTGGTCATTTGCACAGCTAACGCAGTCCTTTAGGTGCAAACACCTCAAAGCTACACAAAAATATCTATAAGTTTACCTTGGGGAGTATCGACAGACCGAGAAGTACATCGTTCCAATGTTATTTCCTGTTCCATCTATCAGCGGATTGCATAAATGTTGATGGCATCCCAGGTTTGTTGTTGTTTCCCAAATAACCTGAAGAAGAAGGTACTCAGCATGAAGGAAAAACCCGTTTCGTGGTACCGGAAAATAACAAAAGGTTCAAACTTTCGACCTACTTGAGTATAGTGACCAGTTCCCTTGATATTTGTGTCGGTTACCTTCGCAAACGTGTATAACTTGTGTTCTTCAAACCATAGCGTCACTGGGCTTGACAAAGATGGAGAATAAATGGAAAAATAAATTAGTCGAGAGCTGGCAGGCTAAAGGAAGGGAAATAATATGTCTGGGAAATATCCATTTGCACGAATCGCAAATGTGAATACAAAATTGAGGCAAAACAAAGCTTTTCTACGGAAATTTTGGACTACGATTATTTATTGTTGCTTGTGTGGGCTGCCTATCCAAGTTTCCTTGTAAGCGTTCTTGTTTCTCCCGAATTTTCATCTGCCTAGAACATTTTTCACCCGCACAACCGACGTGACATTCGGCTGTAGCTCTTCGTTCTGTTGTCATGCTGAGAACTGATGTCAAAAGGAACGCATTGTTGGTAATGTGTTGGAATATTGGTAGCTCGGGTGTATTGATTGGTAATTGATCAGGTGGCAGGTGATCTGTTCGCCGAGCTTGGCAACGCATTGTATTTCATTGGTGGTGTAAGAGGTGCTGGAAATTTACAATTGGGATTGTCTCATGAGGGCAAAGCAACTGATATTGAGTAGACCAGAAGCAATCTACTATCCCTATTGAGAATCACCAACAGTTCGCAGCCAACGACCACCAAACCTCAGACAGTTCCAAACACGCCGATAGTCTGAGCCGCAAACGAGCCGCTGATAACATACGTGAAAAACTAACACTTTTAGAACAAGTAGCATCTAATCAGGCATATTTCCAAGGTAATTATTTTCAGCAACCACCTAACCGACTACATCAGCGCATCAACGTTAGTTTGATGAAATAGTCAGCTGAAATAGTTTGCCCCAAAAATAAAGGTTTTTAGTGCAATTCCATCAAACATTAAACATTTAAATTAACTGTGAGTTTCCACACTTCTTGATTTCGCCCCTAAAAGATGGTAAAGATACTTTGGTGTACCGCTGCAAAAGACAAATTATCTAAAGCCAGCAAAATGGAGGCCTAGCAAGGCAAAATAAACGTGAGTACTCAGAGCTTATCAAGATCTCTCCAACAACTGCAGCCCAAAGGTTGGGTACGTGGTGTTTATAATGCACAAATGCATTCTCGTTGCGAATAAACTGCACTAGATTCTTATATGCAAATGGTTTCTACCTGCAATAGCCATGGCAGACTAGTCATTTCTGACTGCCGTACAAACGAAAACTAGCGTAGTTGCTGGCTTAACACAATTAAAGTTTGTCTACGCCAAAAAGCGATGGGACAGAGAAATTTTTAGAACACTGCAAACAGTGTCTGTCAGTTGATCGCAGCGAAAATGACGGCCGGTGTCATATGATTACAGATTTAGGCACCACACTCCAAAATGGATATAAACATTGCATTCGATGGGTCCACCGGCAGAAAGAGGGACCCGTCATGCTGCAGAGTAGTTTATTCTGAAACACAAACAAAGTGGTTATGAGCAATTGAATGAGAGGGTGAAACCCTTATTTCTATTGAGTTTAGAAAACAATTTTCCAACACATATTCTCGAACTTCTCTGCGCATGTTTTGAATACCTAACACAAATGTAAGGACCTATTGTTGAGGGGACCAAACATTTCCCACTCATTTACCAGTTAGCCAAAAAGACTAGGCCTCATGGTGTGAACAAAGATTACCCGCAGATGTACATAATAGTATGCACACTAGACCACAGAAAATCCATTCACCTTTCAAAGATTATACTACAAAATACTAGGTTTGGAATGCAAACCTGTGCTTCCGTCCGCTTTTCTCCAACCTTTGCCTGCTAGCCAAATGCACGAGGTTTGTACTAATTATTAATCAACACATTATATTTTTCAAACTCATTTACAGTGCGCTAACGACAAGAAGTGAAGCGTAATTCACTGTACACTGTAACTCATAGCATTCCGAATCATTTGACTTACTTAACAGAAACATGGCTTGAGGCTGCCAGATTTTCGCCATCCTCTGCGTCGTCATCGTGTTTGAACACACATCTTTCCGCCCAATTTCTAGCGTCTCTGGCCAGCCGCTCGTCAAAAACCTGTCCAGGATTAAAAAAGTGCTGGTTAATAATGAACAGAATATACTTTTGAAATGAGCGAAAATAACCCAAAATCGTATAAATGGTCTATTGGTTCCGCGAAACGTATTTTCCCACCATCTGAAGCGTGCTTCGGTTTATCGCGTAAGACCATTTTAGTTGAAATAATGAAGGCTGAAATTCCTATCTGTCTATGGGCAGTATGTGTGTATGCGCATGCAAATCGATATCTCCAAAAGCACACTAATAAAAATTTACATGGTTACCTCACAACAATCTGACGCTGCCCCCGGGGAGATAATTGTAATGCCTAAATAATGTTACACTCAATTTTATTATAATAAGCTGACCATAATGAACCGTTCATGGCATGTTCAAGCTGGGATTATGTTCCTTTGAAAGGAATCCAAGCGGAAGTGCGATTCTTCAAATAAATAGCGACGATACTTTGTGTCCACATCGAGTTCAGTGAGGCTGGTCGCAAAGATGTCCCAGAACAGTCACAATCTCCTCTACAATGAATCATTCGCCAAACATCATCCGTTCATTATCTCCAGAATCTTGCTAAAAGCTTATCTATATATTACGTGTACTCTATGTCTAGGGTTGCACAGAAAGCTTCGCATTCATGCATTTAAGCCCCCACTTTGATGAGTGCTCTCCATCCATCTATACCACACGGAAATTGGGTAAAGCTAAGGGAACCCACTAGAATTGGCTGACGTGTTACTATTTTGCTCTAGTGTTCCAAACGACGGTATACGATCACCTTTGGGGTCATTTTTGAAACCTTGAGCGGTTCAGTCAAATAGTCTTTGATCCTTCGTTAAAGTTTAAAAATATCCTGATACCTTGTCGTTCATCGTGCATACTAGCCTACTTGAAATCTTCAGTATATTGATTTTATGAGGATATCAATTTGCATAAACGCATATGGTCACATGCTGGAAGCTCGTCATATCGGTATTCAGTTGTCACTCTCATGTGGATTGAACGATTCGTTGAACTGGGTGAAAGCAACCCATGTCTCCTTATCTACATAGCGCTTTTTGGTAGGATGCCTACAGGCACCTTGGAGCCGTTTGAAGGGAGAGCCAGCCTATACTCTGTCCTTGAGGATCATGGAATTCGTCTGTCAGGCTCAATATTACTAGTGGCTTAATTCCGCTCTATAATGTTCTGACTCCCTGTCCTACAATAATGTCTTGAAAAAGAAACACTAAAGCTGACGTTCGGTTTTAGAAAGCATGCTATGACTCGGATTGCAAAATTTGGCCAAAGCACTTGGTGTTCTGCAAGGACCGTAGTCCAAAAGTATGCGTTTACTGGAAATACAGGATTACGTTAAGCCTTCGGAGATGCAATCAGGTGAATTACAGAAACTGATATTCACAAAAGAGACTGATACGGCCAATGAAGCCGAATTTGACCAAATACTTGGGCAAGAACAGTCGATTATGGAAATGATATATCTAATCGGTGAATTCAACTCTCCAGAATCAGTGTGACGCACAAAACTTTTACGTCAACAAAGGAAGACCTTTTACCAATATTTTTCTCATTTTTCCACAGGTAAAATGGGCAACACCCGAGAATATTCAAAATATCTCTAAAATAGTTTTTTCAGTTATTCGGTTTGCATTGTTTTTTTTAATTTAACGCCAGAACTTCGGAAACACATACTGTCTGCTTTTATCTGGCTCGACAAGTAAACGTTTGCCACTTTAGGGTGATAGCGTGGCTTGTGTTTAATAAAACAAATGATCGGAACGCGGGTTAGCCTTGTTCTACCAGCGCTACAAAACCCCATATGTACTCCTAGCTCAGTCACTTGGTAAAATCCGTGGTCTGGCTTGTAAGACATCTAAGTATCCTTTAGTAGTCGACGATGACAATATGAGATGATAAACAAATGGCTTTCCTTCTATTGAAAAGATGCCAGCTTGTTGATTATCCGTTTGGGTGTTTTAGTATCACCAGAGATAATCAAATCAATGGAATTTCCACCTGTTGTTTATTGAAAGGAACTTGGGTAGTTCATGTGCGTCGATACAATTAAACTTGAAATATACTGTGGAGACACGCAGTGGAGACTTTATCTTCAAATGACTTGCAAAGTTTAATTTTTTTGTGCTTGACCAGGTTTATTCATAGACTGATAAACCCAACTTGGGATCGGTTACCAAGGTGGCTTTTTGGGCTCCTACACTTCAACTAGTAGGATTCCCACGGATAAATATGACAGAAAGCGAATGTTTTCAAGTAAGGGATAAATTTGTTTACCACTAATATAGTCAAGCTCTGTGTGAATGATGCATACACTGCACAGATAGGCTACCATAAAAAGCATAAACTTATTTAAGCCTAAAGTCTAAATCATTTTATTCATTTTTAGCATACAGAAATGATTTTGTTACGACATGACGATGAGGGTCAGACACGCTCACAGGTAATATGTACCGGTGGTACAAACACAATATATAGTTGTGGTATTGTCAAAAAGGAATGAAGAAATCTTTAAATAACGAAGTGGCACATTTTCTGTTTTTCCCCCAGATACTGTTAGCAGGATTTCCGTACAAATCGGTGGACCAAAGTTTCTTCCTTGTTTGGAAAAGAACGACCGCCATTACTTGCTAGACTTTCATGTATCCGTTTGATCTATGAGAGCTTTCATGAATATTCAATTCCAATTTTTCTGACGTCCTCGCAGAAAATCTATCTTTTACCCAACAGTCTATGTGAATGTACGAATGATACCATTGTAGTTCACTTATGTGACCAGAACATAACTAATGAGAAGGATCGAAAAATATTTGGCACACTTACCAAATCGGGTAAATATTTTGCTCTGGGCTGGTTTGGGACGGAGCCTTCAACCAAATTTCTCCGGTACAGGTTATGATACTGCTGAAACTGCTGCTGAGAGAAAAATTGTCCGCCAAGGCTAGATGTGATGCAGAACAGTAAGATATGAAAATTAGCCATAGCGAAAATGCAAAGCATATCTTTTGAGATCATGTTCCAAGGCGACAAATGTAAATCACCAGGTTTTTATGCTTTCTGCCATCCACGTAGTACATGGTGTCTAGTGACCTTCTTTAGCTAATTCATAAATTAAATCCAGTTATGCATTGGGAGCGCCGTTGTCAATAACAACTGTTTTTGCCCCGGTAATTTGCGTTCACAAATTGTCAGTGTTTTGTACCTACAATTAAAAGAACATGCATTTTCTCGTCCCTTGCTTGCAAAAAACAAGTTGCTTTTTACCCTGGGGTAACCTATAGACGTGGTAGAGCCAAACGATTACAAGCTGCAGTGAAATAACTGTTTCTGCAACTGCTTTGAAGGCTATATAATCCTTGGTATTCAATTCTGACGGAAGTTCATATGAACAGTAATTTCTTTCAGCTGCAACAACCTGAGCACCCAAGAACCTTCGATTTGGTCGTTTCACTTTCATTAGCCAAATTATCCTCAATGGCTTTTTCTGGAGCTAAGGCAACATTTTGTAATAACCAGACTTCTTACTTTTTACGATAATTTAGGATAAATTTTCCATGTTGGCCTAACGAAATTCTAAAATAGCCCGGCAGCATCAAAAATAAGACTCCAGCAAATGTGTACTCCTTAGAGTATGTTAAATCCATATCGATCAGCATTGATGGTACGATAGAGAAAATTGCAGTGTCTAGTTAGGCACCTAAAGACCTTTAAGAAAGTACTGTTTAAATATCGGGAAGCTTCTATATATAAATATATGGGTCTTGCCAGGACGAGACACGCTTGAGGCTGATGTTATCCCTCACGGCAGATATTCAAATGACATAGAAGAGGAACTTATCGTGACATTTTTAGGTGGTACCACCAGCCCTGTTAATTTCTAAATATTAACTAATGTTCGACAATGAATTTACGCGACCCGATATAATACGACTGTGCTGCTTATTCGTTATTCGAGGGAACCAGCCACAGGCTCTTTATCTGTTGACACGTTATATTGTGGGCTATCAAGTGCACGCCTTTTCTATTTGCCCCACTCCTTTTCAACTTACGGCATCAACAATCTCACAATATACCACTATTGCTGAGTTCAACTTGGATCTGTGGTACAAAAGCCTTTTAAGACATTATTCTGTTTTCGTTCTGTCGACGCCGTTGTTTTCACTGTCTATGATGGCAAAAATTACGATGGTAATTAGGATAAGATCAAAGGGGAAGGTGACTTATGATAGAAGGGTAGTTTCTGCTTTCAGTTGGCATGTTTATGGTGCCTGCGCCTAATCTAGATAATTGCTGCCCTATGTTCCCACCGCCTAGCTGCCAAGTGCTTTTCGAACTCCAATCCATTCTGGAAGGATCTCGAATGGATATCGAATGTAAAGTAGGAGTGTCATTTTGTACTTATAAACGAAAGTACTGAAATAAAGGAACTGCCAAAATAACACAGGAACGAAAATTTCTGTATGAGGGGGCTGCCTGTCAAACTTAAGATGTTCTATAAAACGAGGCTGTGTTGAATTTGATGATCAGATAGAACGGAAAAGCTACGGAACGTGTGGAAAGGCAAACACTTTACACTGTGTCAGATGATGTTCACTTGCTGAGAACTGCATACGTCTTTTCGATTGAGTGACTATCAATCAGCTTTCGGTCGCAAAAGGAAGGAAAAATGATGAAGGACCCTTTAGTCGTTCAAATGTTTGGCATGCTTTTAGTATCATAAGGGTGGAAGAGGAATCAGGGACTTTCATACAAACTTAGGGAGTTTCATTTGACCAAATATTTGAACCAGATACTTTCATGTTGGCCTCTAAAACATTAGAAACCCGGGCCCAAAGAGTGAAATTGCTTTTAAAACCATGTTTGACACAAGTGAATTAATGATATTAAGTGGGATATTTTGATGTTGCGACTTGTGGCAAGTCGTATGGGAAGAGGAATAAAGTCGTCCACGCCCCTGTAGAAACCATCCCAAAGGAGCGGACAGGGTCTCACTAGTGAGCTGATATTTCCTTGGGATCCTGTAGCATTTACATACACTTAAATTCTAGAAGTACTGTTTTATCATGTTATCCATATTACGCGACGATTCAAAACATCTTGCCAACCTCGCCAAGCCCAATTGCTTATGCAAGCATAAATTACTACTTGGACGTCAAAAACAATTTCTGCAGGGAGTGATGGCTCTACTGGGTGTCGCTGAGCCACCAATTTGCAAGAAGATTAACTTCTATATCCATCATTGAGAAGTTGAAGCTTGGAATCTCGGAGTTTCAGGTTAATCACAATGTATTGCTGTCCGATATCTGTTGGTTCTCTTCTTTTGTTCTAACTGTGTACAAATGATCCCTCGCTTTGTTGTTCCCGTTGTCTGTCTGTAACACCCTCCTTGTTGCGTCCTGAACATAAACCGCTCTTTGACCTTGTCATCGTACGTCTTGTCATATTGCGGCGAGCTTGCTCTGAGTTGGTATGAAATTTGGGATCCCGTTTGGAATTAGCTCTTCCTAAACCGGTGTGTAGAAGCCAGTGAGATTTGAGGTTTGTGCAATTTTATTGTTTTAATAATGTATTCATAATATCGTATTTGTTATGCAAGAGTTTCCCCTTTATTTCTCAAGAGTATAGATTCGGTGGACATATTGTGAAATAATGGGCGAACAACTTCCATTTGACTGTTGTTGAGTTATANTCCTTGTTGCGTCCTGAACATAAACCGCTCTTTGACCTTGTCATCGTACGTCTTGTCATATTGGGGCGAGCTTGCTCTGAGTTGGTATGAAATTTGGGATCCCGTTTGGAATTAGCTCTTCCTAAACCGGTGTGTAGAAGCCAGTGAGATTTGAGGTTTGTGCAATTTTATTGTTTTAATAATGTATTCATAATATCGTATTTGTTATGCAAGAGTTTCCCCTTTATTTCTCAAGAGTATAGATTCGGTGGACATATTGTGAAATAATGGGCGAACAACTTCCATTTGACTGTTGTTGAGTTATATGTCTTTTTAGGAGGTGACATTAGTATGGAATGCATAAATTCTGAAACGTGACCCAATGGGTTTTCCCAAGTGGCCTCTATTGGCTGACTAACTGATGAATAGTTAGAGCCTTCTACGCTCACCAACTGCTGCAGTTAATGTCAGTCAGGATACCAGTTGATTGCTGCATAAATGAACTGATATAATTTGAAAATTTATGCTCACGGGGCCCCAGCATCTTTGTTACCCAGATGCTGCACAGTTTGTCTTTGTTTTGGGTTAATTAAAATTACCAGCAACAGTCGGTCTATGGTAGTCGGGGGTTTTTTCAACCTACACTGAATTTCTGAGATACGTGAATAGGCATTGTTTCCAAATTATGCCATCGCTAATTAAAATAACTTGCATGATGTCTGGTTTGGAATCATTGGTTCCTCTCGAAACGGTCATGTATGGAATTGCAACCTTATGAGCACCAGATAAAAAGAAAATTTACTCATTTAGACGCAACAAAGGAGATGAAATTTCAGGCTTTTTTAACGGCCTGAAAGGTCACTCAACAGGGTACAGATGACGTCCACTCGAATGGTAGCAAAATGCCTGTAAGTCCACTGCCAAGCTTGTTGAACAGGTTAACAGCCACCAAATCAACCACTTGTAGATACTTATGCTATTAAAACATTTTAACGCCAGGTAGCGGCGCCGAGAATTTCGGAGGATATCGATGACACAAGAGTATAGCAACAAAATCAGTTTTGAAAAGTGATATTATGCTACCGATGACGATGATTAGAAAAAATTGTTTATACATGTCATATTCTATCATAAATAAAGGCTAATAAACCTGCCGATTTCAGGACAGTTGCCCTGCAGTTATTATGATGCGTAACGGATGCATGCTTTAGTTATTTCAAAGACGTACTACACTACTCATAAGGGCGCTGAAAATACTTCGACATCCCATGACCGGTTTTGCCACCCTTGATGCTCGTCAGATAAGCACAGTCCTACTCGGGTTTCTGTCAACCTTACCTTACTTGAACTCCAATTAGACAGATTTCTACGTTATTTCACTTTTTTCCAAAGTCTTCTGACTCTGCATTTCAGTCTGGAATGCAGAAGGATTAAAATTAGGAAGATACGCTGGATGTGACGGAGAATTTTATACAGCTCGGTAGTCACTGTGGTTCTCACGGAAGCGTGGCCAATGAAGTCACTGCATGAATCGTAAAAACTCTAATCACTTTTGTTAATCTGCACCAACTGTGGCGTCGGAAAGGCATACCACCAGGTACCAATGTTCGCGCTTACAGTGAGAACTGTGTTGATTTATGGCCGGGAGACATGTTCTGTGCGGACAGATGGCCCATGCATCAGACTGGTACCGGATGGTGGCAACGGATTCGTAACCACGAACTCTGAAAACTGGTATTCGGTTGTGCAGCAAGAATTTCAGCAGCAAAAACACCCAGCAACATCAACCGCAGTGGCTAGGCCATGTGCTACGCCTGCCGAAACACTGTCTACCGATATAAGTTTTCTTCTCCATACTCCTTCAGGATTGTACAAACTACCACTTGGGCAATGCATGAATTGACAGAGGGTTGTGAATGAGATTATGATGAGGTTAGTTGTTTGTACTGTCCACCATACAGGATTGGATAAGCGCTTGCCCGGAAACACTGCAAGAAATGGTGACCAATCAAAATTAGTAGTGCCCGTGCTGTCAATTTCTTTCCGGGTTGTATGGGCACCTAAGATTACTTGAGAACACTGGTATAGGCGATCTCCAGGTGAATGGACATCTTCAGTGCTTTGATTTGCGCCTATATGTAGCTGATTTTGAGGTGTTTTTCAGTGGGATGTCAAGATGGTCGTTTGACTGCAGAACATATTTTAGTAATTTAATCTCCTCAGCGAGATTGTCTGGAGTCTAAACAATTCTTACTCTATGGAACACAATCCAAAGAAAAGCACTTTTATGCTACACTGGACTGCAAAGTGTCTAGATTATCGGCTGACGTTGCGAGGCGTAGTACCA